AATAAAAAGTATCCCGTGCTCATGGATTGAAAGAATGAATATTGTTAAAATGACCAAAGAAATCTACAGTTTCAATGCAATCCCTTTCAAAATACTAATGACATTTTCCACAGAAATTGAAAAAAATCCTAAAATTTGTATGGAACCCCAAACACCCCAAATCGCCAAAGCAATCCTGAGCGAAAAGAACAAAGGCAAATGCATCATACTACCTTACTCCAAAATACACCACAAAGCAATAGTAAATAAAATAATTTTTTATTAAAAAGATTGTTGGAGAAATAACAGTCTCTTCAATAAATGGTGCTGAAAAAACTGAATATCCATATGTAGAATGAATCTAGTCCCACACATCTCATCCTATACAAAAGTCAACTCAAAATTATTGAAGACCTGACTGTAAGTAAGACCTGAAACTCTAAAACTACTAGAAGCAAAAACAGAAGAAATGCTTCAGGGCATTGGTCTGGCAAAACATACTAGAAATAACACCTCAAAAGCACAAACAACAAAAGCAAAAGTAAACAAATGAGATTATTAAATTAAAAACATCTGTACAATAAAGGAAACAATCAACACTGTGAAAAGACGACGTATAGAGTGAGAGAACATATTTCCAAACAATTTGACAAGGGATTAATATTCAGAAGATGCAAGAAACTTCAACACCTCAAAACACAACTTGATTTAAAAAAATGGGGAAATGAACTGAACAGATGTTTCTCAAAAGAAGGCGTTCAAATAGCAAACAAATACGTGAAAGGATGCTCACTAATCATCACAAAAACAAGTACAAAAGCCACAGTAAGTATCCTCTCTCCCCAGTTAGGATGACTATTATTCAAAAACATAAAATAAAAAAAAAAAAAATAACAAATGCTGGCCAGGATGCAGAGAAAAGTTTACTCTTAAACACTGTTAGTAGGAATCTAAACCAGTATAGCCATTGTAAAAAACAGTATAAAAGTTCCTCAAAAACTACAAAAAAATAAAAACTCTATAGGATCCAGCTATCCCACTATTGCCTATTTATCCAAATAAAATAAAATCAGCATATTGAAGAGACATCTGTATTTCCATGTTTATTTTAGCACTATTAACCATAGCCAAAATATGGAAACAACGCAGGTATCCAACAAAAGAAAATATGGTATATGTATACAGACACAAACACACACAAATGGAATATGGTATGTGTATACACAAACACACATACACACACACAATGGAATACTATTCAGCCATTGAAAAGAATGAGATCTTGTCAATCACAGCAACGTGGATAGAACTGGAGGACGTTATATTAAACAATCCAGGAAAGGAAAGTTAAACACCACATGTTCTCATATATGAAAGCTAAAAAA